AAGGCTAATAGTTCGTATAAAGACGAGTGGCTTTAATTTAGATATAAAAGTAAGCTTTTAAAGTTAACTATAAAGAATAGAAATATTTAAAGAACGTCTAAGACTATATATCCGTCTTTCTATCCTTTATAGTTCTAGTTTACTCCCTCGCCAATGCCTCCTTAGTAGGAGTAACCTTCCTCTAGAGCATCTTACTCCCTTACTAATACCTCCTTAGCGGGAGCACCTTCCTACTCCCTTACTAATACCTCCTTAGCGGGAGCACCTTCCTACTCCCTCACTATGTTAGATTCACATAGTGATTTGATGAATATTAGTAATCTAGAGATGAGATGGATTGATTGTTTGGTGTATTGGCCGAGGTTCTATCTAGGGCGCCCTTTTGTGTGGGTCTTGGTAGATAACCTATCCTAGCCCTGTTTCGGCCAAGTCTTGATATCCTGCCTCCGGCCTCCGCCCCAGCCATCTAATAATAACACTAAGATACTCAGAACACGCCCTTATATCTAATACACCCCCTTAGCTCGGTGCGTTGTCGCTACCTAGGCTAGTTAATTAGGCGATTAATTATTAGAGTACTTAGTGAAGGTAGTCCTATATCTTATTAAGTGGTGTAGTTCTTGTCACCTCTATACTCATTACGTTAATAAGACCTAGTTGATTGAGTAGGCCTTGCCATTTATTGGCTGGCAACACCTTGGTAAGTCTATTGGTAATTATATCGTCCGATCTAATATACTTAATGGTGATTGTTCTAGTGGCAACCTCTTGTCTTAGCCAGTGGGTGTGGATATCCACATATTAAAGCTTGGTCTGGAGTTTTAATACTTCCTAAGTTACTAGCCGAATTGTTTGCTTATTATCACATTGGATTATAATTATTATACTAGGTAAGTTAACCTTCAGCTCCTTTAATAGTTGGGAGAGGTATATTACTTCCTTGGCCACTTACGTAAGGGCTAGGAGCTCTACCTTAGTTGTTAATGTTGTAATGGTATCCTGTTTGGTTGCTCGCCATGCGATTAAGCTACTAAATAGCTTAATTATATATCCTTAAGAGCTTTTCCAATCTAGAGTATTGTCAGCGAAAGA